ATATGTACAATCCATAGACATGAACTAAGAGGAAGGAGGATTGCTAGAGGGTAGGGGCTGCAGGGAAGATTGGAAGAAAGAGGAGAACTAAAGTGGGACAACTGTAATAGCATAATCAATAAAATATACTTAAAATATAGAAAGAAACAAATGTTAGTGACTGTAAAACATATCAAAACTTCTAAGATGCTGTAAAAGTAGTAATATGAGGAAACTTTATATCATTACAGGCTTATCTCAAGAAACAAGAGGAATCCCAAGTAAACAACCTAACAAACCTAACATCCTAAAGATCTAGAAAAAGAGGAACAAAAGCAACCTAAAATCAGCAGAAGAAAGGAAATAATAAAAATTAGACCAGAATTGAATAAAATAGGCAACAAAAGACTATACAAAAATTAAATATAAGTCATAACACCATAAAAGTCCTAGAGGAAAACATTGGCAGGAAAATTTCAGACATTCCACACAGCAACATCTACATGGATATGTCTCCTAAAGCAAGGGACATAAAGGAAAGAATGAACAAATGAGACCTCATCAAACTAAAAAGCTTTTGCATGGCTGAAGAAAACAGCATTAAAATGAAGAGAGAGCCAACCGTATGGGAAAACATATGTGCCAATGACACCTTAGACAAGGGCTTGATATCCAAAATATATAGAGAACTCACATGACTCCACTCCAGGAAAACAAAAACAAAAAAATTAAAAAATGGGCAAAAGACTTGAACAGACACTTCTCCAAGGAGGACATATAGAGGGCCCAGAGACACATGAAGAGATGCTCAGCATCACTAGCCATCAGAGAGATGCAAATTAAAACCACAATGAAATATCACCTCACACAGGTCAGAATGGCCAACATAAACAAATCAAAAAACAAGTGTTGGAGAGGTTGTGGAGAAAAGGGAACCCTAGTGCAATGTTGGTGGGAATGCAGACTGGTACAGCCAGTGTGGAAAATAGTATGGAATTTTCTCAGAAAACTAAAAATGGATCTGCCTTTTGACCCAGCAATTCCACTGCTGGGATTATACCCTAAGAGCCCTGAAACACCAATCCAAAAGAACCTATGCACCCAATGTTCATAGCAGCACAATTTACAATAGTCAAGTGCTGGAAGCAACCTTGGTGCCCATCAGCAGATGAGTGGATCAAAAAACTATGGAACATTTACACAATGGAATTCTATGCAGCAGAGAGGAAGAAGGAGCTTCTACCCTTTGGGACAGCATGGATGGAACTGGGGAGCACTGCGCTAAGTGAAATAAGCCAGGCAGTAAAAGACAAATACCATATGATCTCACCTATAACTGGAACATAATCAACAAAAGAAAAAAGCAAATAAAATATAACCAGAGTCATTGAAATTAAGAACAATCTAACAATAGTCAAAGGTGAGCAAGGAGGGGACAGTGGGGAAAAGTGTTTTCAGGAACTATTATAAAGGACACATGGACAAAACCAAGGGGGAGGGTGGAAGCAAGGGAGGTAGGTGGGTTTGGAGGGAGTAGGGGAAATGGTAGGGAGAAAACACAGACAACTGTAATTGGACAGCAATAAAATAATTTAAATAAAAAGAAAAAAGTAAATGAATATAACCAAGAGCTGGTTTGTTGAAAAGATTAATAAAATTTACAAAACCCTGGCTAGAGTCGCTAAGGAAAAAAGAGAGAGAGAAGTTACCACAGACATCACAGAGATACAAAGGATCATACTAGAATACTATGAAAGACTATATATGACTGAATTCAATAACCTAGAAGAAATGGGTAAGTTCCTAGAAATATATAACTTTCCTAGACTAAATCATGAAGAATTGGAAAATCTAAATAGACCAATCAGCAGTGAGGAAATTGAAGCAACCATCAAAATCTTCCCCAAAAATAAAAATCCAAGACCAGGTGGCTTCATCAGTAAATTTTACCAAATATTCAAAGATTGAAAACCTATTCTTCTCAAACTCTTCCAAAATATTGAAGAAGAGGAAATACTTTGTAACACATTTTAAGAGGCAAACATCACCCTAATACCAAAACCTGGAGAGGATAACACACACAAAAGAAACTATAGACTAATATCTCTGATGAATACAGATGCATTAATCCTAAACAAAGTACTAGCAAATCAAATACAACAATATAGTTTTAAAAATACATCACAATCAAGTGGATCTCATTCCAGGAACACAAGGATGGTTCAATATATGCCAATCAATCAATGTATTATACCACATTCACAAAAGAAAGGATAAAAATCACATGATCTTAACAACAGATACAGAAAAAAAAGCATCCGATAAGATACAACATCAGTTTATAATTAAAACACTCAGTAGAATAGAAATAGAAGGAAAGTACCTCAAAATAATAAAGGCCATATATGACAAACCCTCAGCCAATGTCATACTCAATGGGAAAAACTGAAAGTTTTTCCTCTGAAGTCAGGAGGAAGGCAAGGATGTCCACTCTCACCACTCATTCAACATAGTTCTTGAAGTCCTTACCACAGCAATAAGGCAAGAGAAGAAATAAAAGGCATTCAAATTAGGAAAGAAGAAGTAAAAATGTCACTTTGCAGATGACATTATTTTGTACATAGAAAACCCTAAAGCCTTCACCAAAAAACTATTAGGAACAATAAACAAATACAGTAAAACAGCAGGACACAAAATCAATGTACAAAAATCCACTGCTTTCCTGTATAGTAACAATGAAACTTCAGAAAAAGATATGAAAAAGCAATTCATTTTACAATTGCAACCAAAAGAATGAACCTCAGGATAAACTTAACAAAGCATGTGAAAGACCTATATACTGAAAACTATAAAGTATTATTAAAAGAGATTGTATAAAATACAATGAAATGGAAAGATATTCTATGTCCATTGATTGAAAGAAGCAACATAGTTAAAATGGCCATACTACCCAAAGGAATCCCTACTCAAATTCTAATGTTATTTTTAAAAGAAATAGAACAAAAAATATCCACCAGATTTACAGATTTATATGGAACCACAAAAGTCCCCAAGTAGACAAAGCAATTTTGAGAAAAAAAGAACAAAGCTGGAGGTATCACATTACCTGACTTCACATTGTATTACAGAGAAATGATAATTGAAACAGCATGGTACTGGCAGAAAAACAGACACAAAAATCAATGGAACAGGATTGAGAGCCCAGATACAAAACCACATGTATTTGCACAGAAATTTTTGACCAGGGAGCCAGAAACACACAATGGAGAGAAGAAAACCTCTTCAATAAACGGTGCTTGGAAAATTGGAAAGCTACATGCAAAAGAATGAAACTAGAGTAGTTTGTCTCCATGTACAAAAATTAATTCAAGTGGATCAAAGACTTAAATATAAGATATTAAACAATAAATTACATGATTCAGTTTATAAATTTGACTCCAAAGGCAAGGGAAGTAAAGGTAAAAATTAATATATGAGACTATATAAAACTGAAAATCTTCTACATAGCAAAAGAAACTGACAACCAAACAAAGAGACAACTGACTGAGTGGGAAACCATATTTGCAAACAACATCTCTGACAAAGGTTTAATATCCAGAATATAGAAAGAATTCATAAAACTCAACACCAAGCAAATACTCCAAATGAAAAAATAGGCAGAGGGCCTAAACAGATACCTTCCCCAAGAAGACATAAGAATGGCCAACAGATATATGAAAAGATGTTCAACCTCACTAGCTATTTGGGAAATGTAACTCAAAACTACCATGAAATACCATGTCACACCTGTTAGAATGGCTATTATCAACAAGACAAATGATAACAAGTGTTGGAGAGGTTGTGGAGAAAAGGGAGCTCTCGTTCACTGCTGGTAGGAATTAGACTGGTACAGTCACTATGGAAAACAGTTTGGTAGTTCCTCAAAAAGTTAAAAATAGAGTTACCATATGAACCAGGAAGCCCTCTCCTGGCTCTCTACCCAAAAAAACTCAAAAACGTGTATTTGCAAAGATACATGCACTCCTATGTTCATTGAAGAATTATTCATGGTGGTCAAGACATGGAGGCAACCAAAGTGTTCTACAATAGAGGATTGAATAAAGATGTGGTACACACACACAATGGCATACTATTCAACCACAAGAAAAGAAAAAATACTGCCATTTGTGACAACATGGATGGACCTTGATAATACATGCTAACTGAAATAAGTCAGTTAGAAAAAAGCTAAGAACCACATGATTTCACTAACATGTGGAATATAAAACTGAAAATCATGGACACAGACAGCAATGTGGTGGTCACCAGAGGGAAATGGGTGGGGAACAGCCTAACTTATGGTTGACAGAAGATGGTGTGACTGTAGGTGGTGTGCATGCAGTGCAATATATAGATCCAGTATCATAGAAATGTACTCTTGAATCCTATATGATCCCATTAACAAATGTCACCCAAAAAAATTTAATAAAATTTTTTTTGAGAGGAGGAGGACAGGTTAGGGGGAAGGGAGAAGGATGAAAGAAAAATATCTGAAAGGCTACATAGTATATGATTCCAATTATATGATATTCTGAAAAAATCAGAACTATGGAGACAGTAGAAAGATCAGTGGTTGCTAGAGATTTAGGGAAAGAGAGATGAATAAGAGGAGCATAGAGGATTTTTAGTGCAGTGGAACTATTCTGTTATGGTACTATAAATAGTGGACACAAGTCATTATACATTTGTTCAGATCTGTAGAATGTACAAAGCCAAATGTGAAACCTAAAGTAAAGTATGGACTTTTGATAATAATGATGTGTCAATGTAGGTTCATCAATAGTAACAAATGTACCACTCTGGTTAGAGATGTAGATAATGGGGGAGGCTATGCATGTTGGGGTTAGGAGATATAAGGGAAATCTCTGTACTTTCCTCTCAGTTTTTCTATGAACCTAAAAGCTGCTCTAAAAAAATAAAGTCTAATTTTAAAAATCTATAGGGCTTCCTGTTTTTTGGTCTCCAGGCCCCACCCACAGCTGCCGGGGAAACAGAAAGATCTATGGCTCACCCGCGGCCATGAAATCAAGAGCACTGAAGCCCTCAGTCTATTTTCAGTCTGGTTCTTGCCTGGCTTCAGAATTCCTGAGAAGCTCTGGAATGTGCTCCAAAGGGCTGAAGTTGTGTCTGGCTCTGGAACTTCTACTGCTGCCTCTTTGTTTCTTGGAGACTAATGTTCAAGGTATGTTCCATAAACTGTTTGTCTGTGATTGTGCACCAAAGACACAATTGTGGAAGTAAAGTATGGCCTCCAGGCCATAGGCACTTCCATCTTGGAAGCAGAGCAGTGATGAGTTGGGAAGCTTTTCTTAGCCTTGGATTATCGGGTTCTATGTCTTTTCTCAATGGGACGTGGCAAAAACTGAACCACGGGGAGATGAGGAAGTAGGCCCCTCATATTTAGTCCCATGGCCTGTGGTCTGTGAAGTATTTTTTTTTGCATTTTAAATAACAGGAAGCTCCACACTGATAGATGCCACATCTTTAAGCTCAGGTACACTTTGCTGCTCTGTGAGGCTTCTGTCTGTGCAAGGTGTTCTTTCCTAAGCCTAGGTAAATAATGGCATTGTCCCAAAGAGAGATCAAATTGTAGGAAAGATAAGTTGGAAAGGATTGCTGTGTGAAGGGTCTCTAAATGAGGGTCTCAGTAGAGGCCTCAGGTGCTTCAGTATAAAAGTCACTCTGAACTCCCTACCATCTGGTTGCTAAGAGTTAAGGTGCATTCTTCAGCCATGGGCTGGTTCTGGCTTCCTTATTGGTGATTTTTTTGTTTCATTATTTCTTTGAGCTCAATGAGGACAGGGACCATGTCTAATGCTGACCTTAGCACAGTGCCTGGAACATAACTGGCATCAATAAATAATTGTTAATTATATGAATCAATGACTTCAAGGAACTTCCTTTTGGAAATACATCCAGATTTCCTGGGAGTACAGTAGCTCTCTTCTCCTTGGTAAGAAATGCTTTTGTGGAAAATTTAAGAAGCACTTTTAAATTTCCTGTTTTATCCCTCCTCAGAATTGAGTTTCCAGTTCTCTGATTTCAGGGTACCCTCTACTATTAGGCATCTTCCCCATCTCCCTACAACACTTAGCAGAATTCAGTGCCAACAGCATGTAATAGAAATTTGAAGACCTATGTTATCTCTAAGTTCGATGACATGGGACTTTCTATAAATCACAAAAGTTTCCTGAGTTTCAGCTTTCTCAACTCTATAATGGTATAATAATATGCCTTGCATTTTTTCAAGGGGTTATTATTAACGTTAAATCAAAATAAAGAATGTGAAATTGCTTTGTAATTGTGACACAACACAATCTGAGTCAAGCCTGAGAAGAATATTTTAAACTTCAAAGCCCAAAGTTCTTTCCTGAGCCCCAGACCTGAATGTTTAGCTGCTTCTTAGACAACTCCCCCAGACTCCCTAAATACATATCTAAAATCTAACTCATCATCTTGTTCCAGAAATCTATTTCTGTGTTATGATCTACCACAATACTTTGACTTAAGTTAGTAACAATCATTTATTCTGACCACAAATGTGGAGGTAGGATGAGCTCAGCACCTCGAGGTATCTCATGTGCTAGTCTCCAGATCATGGTGGGGACTGAGATCATCTCTAAGTCTTCATCATTCACATGGCTGGTGCCTAGGCTGAGTAAGACTAAACCCAGGAAAAATAGGCAAATACTGCCTGATATTTTTTAATCTAGCTTTGAAAGTAACTGTTCTGAGGCATTCTGTTTTATTGAGGCAGTCATCAAAGGGAGGGGACTTAGACTCTATCTCTTTTTCTTATTTTAATCATTTTTCAAGTACAGTTTTCTCCCTTTTACTCTCATTCCAGCCCACCCACCCATCCCTCCCCACTTCCCTCCCATTACCACCCTTCCCCTGGTTTTTGTCCATGTGTCCTTTAAGTTTGTTCCTGTAGACCCTTCCCATTGTCCCCTGAAATTCCCTCTTCTCTCCCTTTGGGTCACTGTCAGTCTGTCCTCTATTTCAGTGTCTTTGGTTATATTTTGCTTGTTTCTTTCTTTTGTCGTTTAGGTTCCTGTTAAAGGTGAGATTGTCTGGTATTTGTCTTTCACTGCCTGGCTTATTTCGCTTAGCATAATGCTTTCCAGCTCCATCCAAGCTGTTGCAAAGGGTAGGAACTCCTTCTTTCTTTCTGCTGCATAGAATTCCACTGTGTAAATGTACCATAGTTTTTTGATCAATTCATTTACTGATGGGCATCTAGGTTGCTTCCAGCACCTAGCTAATGTAAATTGTACTGCTATGAACATTGGGGTGCAAAGGTTCTTTTAGATTGGTGTTTTAGGGTTCTTAGGATATAGTCCCAGAAGTGGAATTGCTGGGTCAAAAGGCAGATCCACTTTTAGTTTTCTGAGGAAGTTCCCTACTGTTTTCCATAGTGGTTGTACCAGTCTGCAGTCCCACCAAAAGTGCACTAGGGTTCCCTTTTCTCCACAACCTCTCCAACACTTGTTGTTTGTTGCTTTGTTTATATAGCTATTCTGACCTGTGTGAAGTGGTATCTTATTGTGGTTTTACTTTGCATCTCTCTGATGGCTAGCGATATTGAACATCATTTCATGTGTCATTGGATTTTCTGTATGTCCTCCTTGGAGAAGTGTCTGTTCAAGTCCTTTGCCCATTTTTTAATTGGGTTGCTTTTCTTCTTAGAGTGGAGTCATGTAAGTTCTTTATATATTTTGGAGATCAAACCCTTGTCTGAGGTATTATTGGCAAATATGTTTTCCCATACAGTTGGTTCTCTTTTTATTTTGATACTGTGTTCTTTAGCTGTGCAGAAGCTTTTTATTTTGATGAGGTCCCATTTGTTTATTCTTTCCTTTATGTCCCTTGCTCTAGGGGACATGTCAGTAAAAATGTTTCTGCATGAAATATCTGAGATTTTCCTACCTATGTTCTCCTCTAGGACTTTAATGGTATCATGGTTTATAGTTAAGTCTTTAACCACCTTGAATTTATTTTTGTATAACGTGTAAGTTGGTGCCCGAGTTTCATTTTTTTGCACATAACTGTTCAGTTCTCCCAACACCATTTGTTGAAGAGGCTATTTTTACTGCATTTTATGTTGCTGCCTCCTTTGCCAAATATTAATTGACCATAGAGACTTGGGTTTATTTCTGGGCTCTCTGTTCTGTTCCATTGGTCCATGTGCCTGTTTTTATGCCAGTACCAGGCTGTTTTGATTATAGTGGCCTTGTAGTATAGTTTAGTGTCAGGTATTGTGATCCCTCCTACTTTCCTCTTCTTTTTCAAAATTGCAGCAGCTATTATGGGTAATTTATGGTTCCATATAAATTTTTGAAGTGTTTGTTCTATGTCTGTGAAATAAGCCATTGGTACTTTAATAGGTATTGCATTAAATGTGTAAATTGCTTTGGGTAGTATGGACATTTTGATGATATTAATTCTTCCAGTCCATGAACACGGTATATGTTTCCATTTGTTTTTGTCTTCCTTGATTTCTTTCCTCAGTGTTATGTAGTTTTCTGAATACAGGTCTTTTACCTCTTTGGTTGGGTTTATTCCTAGGTATTTTATTTTTCTTTTTGCTATATCGAATGGGATTTTTTTCTTGATTTCTGCTTCTGCTGTTTCATTGTTGGTGTACAAAAATGCCTTTGATTTCTGGATATTGACTTTGTATCCCACTGTTTTGCCAAATTCATTTATTAGGTCAATCAGCTTTTTGCCCAAGTCTATAGGATTTTCTATGTACATTATCATGTCATCTGCAAACAGTGACAGTTTTGTTTCCTCCTTCCGATTTGCATGCCTTTTATTTCTTTTTCTTGTATGATCACTGTGGCTTAAACTTCCAGTACTATATTGAATAAAAGTGGTGAAAGTGGACAGCCTTGTCTTGTTCCTGATCTTAGTGGGAAAGATTTTAATTTTTGCCCATTGAGTATGATGTTGGCTATAGGTCTCTCATATGTGGCTTTTATTATGTTGAGGAATGCTTCCTCTATTCCCACTTTGCAGAGTGTTTTTATCATGAATGGGTAGTGTATCTTATCAAAAGCTTTTTCTGCATCTATTGATATGATCATGTGGTTTTTGTCTTTGATTTTGTTTATGTGATGTATTACATTTACTGATTTGAGAATATTGTACCATCCTTGCATCCCTGGAATGAATCCCACTTGGTCATGGTGTATGATCTTTTTAATGTATTGTTGGATGCAGTTTGCCAGTATTTTGTTGAGGACTTTAGCATCAATGTTCATCAATGACATTGGCCTGAAGTTTTCTTTCTTTGTTGTGTCATTATCTGATTTTGAATTAGGATGATGTTGGCCTCATAAAAAGAGTTTGGGAGTCTTCCATCTTTTTGGATTTTTTGGAATAGTCTGTGAAGGATAGGGATTAGCTGTTCCTTAAATGCTTTGTAGAATTCTCCTGTGAAACTATCAGGTGCAGGGCTTTTGTGTGTCAGGAGTTTTTTTGTTACTGCTTCAATTTCATCTGCTGTTATTGGTCTGTTCTAGCTTTCTGCTTCTTCATTGAGTTTTGGAAGATTTTATTTTTTTAGAAATTTGTCCATTTCACCTAGGTTTTCAAATTTCTTGGCATACAGTTCTTCATAGTAATTTCTTACAATCCTTTGTATTTCTGTGGTGTCACTTGTAATCTCTCCTCTTTCATTTCTGATTGTGTTTATTTGGGTCTTCTCTCTTTTTTTCTTGATGATATTCTACCTCTTGATTGGAGTAGTGTCAAAAATTTACAGACTTCTAAAAAATATTATAATCTGCTGTTCCGCCATTATTTCCTATTTCAGAAAATGGCAGCTCTATGTTCAGTTACTCAAGCAAGAATTCTAGGAGTCACCCTCAACTTCTTTCTTTCTCTCTCTTGACACATCCAATAAATAAGTCCTATTAATTCTGTGTTCAAAAATATCTCTCAAATATATCTCATTTTATCCATCTCCACCGACAAAGTAAACTTCCTATGGTAGATCAATACACCATTTTCTCTCTCTTTTTTATCCTCACCCAAGGACATTTTTTTTCATTGCTTTTTAGAGAAAGAGGAAGGGAGAGAGTAAGGGAGAAAGACAAACATTGGTACAGGAGAGAAGCATCAATTGGTTGCCTCCTATATGTTCCTGGACCAGGGATCATATGCACCCAGACTCAG